TCAGTAAGCAGTTCTAAAGTCAAGGCAACGCAACCGACTTAGACTTACTGCACTCTTCTGCTTTTCAGTTCCTTCCTTCCTCATAACATTGTGTAATTTCTGGAGAATGACTAAATTTTTTATTAGTTTTCCTCAGTTATTAAAGTTGGCTGAACATTAGAAATTTCCGAATCTTGGCTCTAGACTACATGCCCAATATTAAATTATCAAGTAATATAGAATATTAAACTCTTAAACGGAGCAAATATTGACTTTTTTTTTCAAAGAAGTTTTCTCTGAATTCAAATTTAACAGTGGTAATTTTCCACTGATTTGGAACAAAGCAATCATTTCTGAAATACTGAACTTTGTACAGTATTAAAAACATCTATCTTTTCTTTTAATTCTACTTCCGTAAAATTTTGATTACATATGAATTAATTCATTTAAAAGAAATAACTTATTATAATTATACCAGCTGACATTATACAATTGACTTTGATGCTATAATTTTGTGGTTTCTAGGTTTCTTCTTTATTTTGCTTAAGGAGATATTAAGGGTTCTACTGTCCCACAATTATAACATGTCTTTGGTAAACCATTTCACAGTTAAAACAAAAAATCAGTCAATCTCTATTTATTCCCCAACATGTAAGAATGCAACCAAAAGCATGGAAATCCTGGTCCACAGGGATATAGAAACAAAAGCCATAGCACAGCTTTGCTGTTGTTTTCTTTCTTTCTTTCTTTCTTTCTTTCTTTCTTTCTTTCTTTCTTCTTTTTTTTGAAGTTTTATCAGAGGCATGCCAGAGACTCATTCAGGAAAGAGAAGCACAATCTTTTAATTTTAAGAAATGGCTGTTAAAATATTTGCTAGATAAATGAAACTTTTTGCAGCTGTTTAACTAAAAATATATAGCAACACTAATGAAATGTAGTTTACATTCGTTAGGAAAGAAAAAGATATTTTAATTCTTGATGATTAAGGATGCTGTTGCTATAATCTCATTTTGGAAGAAATTAGATTCAATAGTGTTTAAAATGATAAATGCATATTTAGAAAACCTAATATCACAGAGAGAAATATTGTTGCTTTTTCTGCTAAGCAATTAGATGTAATTGTCCTTGGAACCTACTGCAGACTGATAACAAGAAGTAAGATAACCTTCCTCTGCCTGCCTATACCATCTATAGAGTCTTCACATTGCATAGCTGCTGTGACTGTTGGTTCCTGCCTTCTTCTACCACAGTTCTCTAGACTTTGAGTAATGGCTATTGAAAGTTTTCAACAGAACTGGTATATAGCATCAACCAGGAAACTTTGGCTCCTTCTTCATCACTGTATACTTTTAGCTTTGGGTGCTCTAATTAATCCCTATGATATATGACAGTTGATAGATTCCTCACACTCTGACTTTTCAAACACTAAATGTGATTTTTCTGGAAGGTTTAAGACAAAAGTACACTTGGAAGTGTATTTTCTCATTACAAATAATGAAATTGAATAAGAGAAATGTTGACATTATACAGCATCTACCTGTCTGTTTTTCTTTTCTTAGAAGTATCTACTTATGCACAAGTTTCTTTTCTATCTCTGAGAAGCTTTTTGATACATCTACTTCATATATATATATATATATGCACGTATACATATGGATACATATATATATGTGTGTATTTTATTTCCTGAAACTCTTACTTAGTGATTAAGTAGTCTTGTATGACCTTCTGAACCCAAAGCTAAGGATAGCACAGTTAGAATAAAACAAGAATGCTTAATTAAGTCCCTAGAGATTTAGACACTCTTAAATTTAGGTTTCTTATATCTACAATGTGAACTCTTCTATCTTATTATTAAGATGCGTAATTCTTATGCAATTAGTCACAGAGCAAATGTTCTCCATTTTTTCATTTAATGTTGATGAGCCATAAAATGTTTTAAACATAAAGCAAAAGAAAACCAGCCTACAAACCACAATTCCAGAGAACTTAGACAACAATGAGGACACTAAGAGAAACTTACATAGATCTAATCTACATGGGAAGTAGAAAAAGACAAGGTCTCCTGAGTATATTGAGAGCATGGGGACCTTGGAGGAGGGTTGAAGGAGGAGATGAGAGGAAGGGAGGGGAGCAGAAAATATGGAGAGCTCCATAAAAATCAATTAAAAAACCTCATAAAATACCTGAATGAAGCACAGCTGAAACGGGGTGCACATGAACTACCTTTTGGTTCAATGGATAGCTTCAGCGTTGCTCGTCCGAGAGACCACAGGACCCTCAGAGATGCATAATGATGTAGCAGTAAACAGTATGGATTTGGGTTCTGTGTTAGTTATAAAGGAGGCTCACATTGCCATTTCTGAGTCACACTGATGTGATGGAGTCCACCTCATCTCAGCTACAAGCCGAGTTTGCTTATCTTGGGTGAGCCAGCCATATCTGGGCTTCGACTTGAACAGCTGAGGATTCCAGGCTCTGCTATAATAGCACAAGAAACATGAGAAATAAAATAGAATCACCTTGGTTTCCTCTCAGAACACTTTTGTTATTATTCGATAAGCAAAAACAATCAGCTCAGTGCTGAGTCAGTAGGGACAGTTGTGACCCTGTGTTTCAAATTAAGGCCATCTAGGCAGCCAGTGTATTTCACTGGTCTGCAGTTCAGCTTCCAGCTCCCCACAAAGTATTTCCTCAGTAGTTTTTTCATTGTCGTGGTCACACTAATGACCTGAGCAGGGTGACAGTTCTTATTTGAAGGAAAATGTTATTCAAATGCTAAATCTATCACCTGGGCACATGGCATTATCAGAGGCTCTTAATTTTCTTTGGAGACAGGTTCTGTCTTATGATTTACCTGAGTGAAAGTCATATAGACTTTTGAAGAGTACTGACAGGGACCTAAAGATATTACAACACGGACATTTATTTATTTATTTTTATGGTTTTTTTTTTTTTGAGACAGGGTTTTTCTGTGTAACAGTTCAAGCTGTCTGTGTTGAATTAGTCCGGGAAACTAATTCTTTTAGATCAGACTGGCATCAAACTCACAGAGATCTGCCTGAATCTGCCTCCTGAGTGCAAGATTTAAAGGTGTGTACTACCACCACCTGGCTTTATTTTTATGTTTTGGTTTCAGATTTAACATATATGTGTATATATATATAATATATATGCACATAACTTCTTCTATTTTGATAAATTCAAGTCTCCCTTCTTTTTTGTCATCTTTTTCTATATTCACCCACACTATTCCCTTCCAATTTCATCTGTTCTTTTAAAAAAGATCACACAAAGTCCTGTTATTTCTGCTAGAATATTGTGGGTATCACACTATCAAATGGACCATGGACAGGCTCTCAGGAGCTGCATCCTTGAAGAAGACTATCTGGAATATCTTCATTCAATTAAGCCTATGACTTATGACATCACTATGTCAGGAATATGAAGGTATTTTCCAGATGTCTGATATTAATGTGCAAAGAATAATCAACAATCTTCCTAATTAAAAATGCTTTTGTTTCAAGTACATATCTTTAGAATCTATACTCTAACAAGTAGAGCTGTAATAAAGTACTAGACTTTTCATTTCTAAACAAATCTCAGCTAATCCTAATAGTCCTGTCTACAGTTTCTCACCTTGTTTTAGATACAATTTTTACTGGTGCTGCCCTTGGGATCATGAGATCAACCTTGTTGGTTACAATATCAATAGGACACTGTTTGGAGAATCTAAAGGTGATGAGAAAAACATAGACATATTTAGAAGGAAAGAACAAGACACTATTCATGGTAAAATTGCAGAAGGATTACTCTCACATATTTATTTCTGTAAGAGAAGGTACATGAAATATTTGCTTCTCCAAAGGGATGGAGAGTAGCTAAGAAGAATCAATGGGAGCTACAGTGTTTTAGAGATACTTATTTAATACAAGGACGTTGACACTTCACTCAAGAAAAGAGTTTGAGTTATTGTCCAAATTTAATTCTCAGTGGAGTCAGTCTTTCCCATAGGCTGATTGTTATGTTGTAAAGTAGTATTTTGGCAGAGGTACCTTTCTGTCCCATTCATCTGATGGTCAAGTTCACTCCTTGCTGTTCCTGAGTGGACAAAGCAGCTCATTCTTCTCATCCCTGCATGCATTTATTTTTGGAACAGCCTCTTACTTGATAAATCTGTCAGTTTGTGAATACACTGCACAAATGGGACCATGCTTCTGAGTCCTTCCAACCTTTCCCCTGCTAACTACTGCAGTTCTACCATGCATACTCTGTTCTCTAGCATGGGTGTAAAGTTGTAACAGTTTTAAGTAAGCTTAATTATAGAAAAAATGCAAAGTCCTACTGAAATCCTTTTTGTTCTTGTCTTCAAATTTTCTGAAAACCATTTTTTATCGCTGTGCAGTGGTGGCACACGCCTTTAATCCCAGCACTTGGGAGGCAGAGGTAGGCAAATCTCTGTGAGTTTGAGGCCAGTCTAGTCTACAAGAGCTAGTTCCAGGATAAGTTCAAAAGCTACAGAGAAATCCTGTCTCGAAAAACCAAACCAAACCAAAACAAAAACAAACAAACAAACAAAAAACCATAAAAACCTATCTTAGACTATAGCTACTTAATAAAAAAAGCTTCCTTTTATAGACCAATTCTGTAGAGAGCTGCTTAGTGCTGCACGTTAAAGATGGCGCTGGTTTCCACCCTCCACCTCCCTGATGGTGAGCACTCTCAGTCCCAAACAACTCCATATATGGCTAAGGCTAAGGATCTGGCTTGCTTCCGCGTTTCTGGACCTATCTACATTTCCTACATAGCATGCTGGGGTTGGCTACCCAGAGGCTATTTAACCTGTGGGCTGGCTTTCCCCTGGGTCAGAAGATTGTTCAAGGTTCCTAAATCAACCGCATTTAGAAGAGTCCGGTGTTGCGTCTTCCTTGCTGGCGAAGCGGACACAACACAATTCATTTCTGTGAAAGTTTCTATTTCTTGAAAGCAAAAACCCTTGTATAACTTACCTTTTGTATTATTAGAAGAGAGCATGATTACCGTACCCTACTACCACAAATTATCAAGTTAAGTTTTCTCCAATAGTGGAAATCACAGTGTCAGCACATCTAAAAGGTAATGGATGCACTTCTTCCTGAGAAAGCCAGCTTCTTAACCATGGGATCTGTCAACCCAGGTAAGTATTACTGTGCCTTTTAGAAAAATACGTTATTAATTAGTCTACTAAAACAGTAGACTAAATTCTCAGATACTTGAGAACCATCATTTGATGTAATCATGTGACTCATTCTAGATGTTTGCACAGCTACAAATAAGCATGTACAGCACATAAAAACAAAACAAAACACACACAGAGAAAGAGAGGGAGGGAGGGAAGAAGGGAGGGAGGGAGAGAAAGAGAGAGAGAGAGGTGCTGCCCATGTATTCATAAATGTATGGCACCCCACTAGTGCATAATCCACAGGGATGGTTCTAGAAGAGGGGAATATGGGGTAGGGTAACTTTAAAACCCAAAGCAGTAATGCAGCAGGGTTATTACACAAATAAACAAAGAAGTGGATATAAGAGCAGTTACAAGTCCCATGCAACCTCAAGTCACACCATATCTCAGCAAGAGGGGAAGCAGGCATTGAGTTCTATCCCTAGGAGACTTACAGGCAACTGAAAGTTGCAAATACAGGGAGAGTCAGTTGTCAGGTGTATTGTTTATGGAGGGAATAAGCATAAATTATATTTTAGGAACATGCTAAAGGAAGGCATTTCACAGTAATTAGTAAGTTACTATAACTTACTAATATATATATGAAAGAGAGAGGGGGAGAGGGAGAAATTTACACAGAAGGACAAAGGACAAAGGTTAGTAGAGTCAGTTATCTCTTCTAACATTTCTGCCACGTGCATTCAAGGGGTGGAATTCTGGGTGCTAGGTTGAGAACACAAGGATCCTTACCTTCTCATCTATCAGAAAACTAATAGGAACATATACTAAAAGATGAAAAAGGAACAAACACAGTCCATTATTGGTACCTGGGAGACAGTAGGGAGGAGCAGAATGATAACTCAAGGGGAGTAAAACTCGAAAGATGCAAGGCACGGCTGCCTCTGGCCACCATCTGAACATGAAATGAATGAGTATATATCAACTATTATCCATTTTAACTATTGCTTGATAACCAACTCGAAATGCGATGATACATATAACAACTGAAGAAATATAGAGTTCATGAATTTGAGATGGCTCCAGGAGGAGGCAGGGTGTGCACCAAAGGGTTAAAGGGAGAAAAGGAAAGCGGGAAGTTATTGCAATTATATTTTAATTTCAAAAACTAAAAACTGCAAACCAGAGACAGTGTTTGGGGAAATAAGTAGATTCATAGGGACTTGTATAAGATGTAGAAGGTGAAACAGATCTAATCTTAAAGTCTAGTCAAATAATAACAGGTTTTGAATGCCAACAATAGTCCTCACTCCCTGGAAACGTAAATATTAAATTTTTAAACCTCTCTCAGTTTTAAGTCAAGCTGAGTATTTTAAATAAAAACTCTTGCTATTTTGGGGCTTCTTAAGAAACCATTTGCATTTGATCAGCATGAGTGTGTTCTCCTCCCCAATGCCAAAGGCAGAACACAGCCTAACACAGTCGCAAACCTTGAAAAGCTGAAATGATCCAAAGGTACTTGCAGGAAGACTGTCTTTTCTCAGTGGTTTACAACTATTTTTCAGAACATGTTGCTGTTTAGCTGTGAGTGTGAGGGTCCAGCTAAATGCCAGCATGTTCCTCAATCCACACAGATGTACTGGGTGATTTGCATTTGAAAATGGTCTGACAGACAGATACATTAAATATTCATTTCCTCATCTAGAGAATCACCATTGTTTTTCAGACTAAAATTGCTTAAAAGTATCTCTTGCCTTAACTAGTGCAATAGTCTCCATTTGAATGAATTCACTTAAATATTATAAACAATAGATTAATCTTAATCATAAGGAAGAACTTTCTACACCCTCTGTCAGAGTTTGTACTTGATAAGGTTATGCCTCTGAGACCACCAAAGTAGAATGCAGGCAAACATGACACTCATTTTTCTCATCAATGTAAAATAATTCTTAGATAATATTGTTTGCTGCTCCATTACCCTCAACTTCTCCCACTAGAATCTTCTAAGCAAATTTTAGTGCTGCCTGGGTAGCCACTTTCCTATTGTTTTATGATTCTCAGCTTGCCTATTTATTCATGCACCTACCAATTTATTTCCATAAATTACTTAGCCTTGGTTGTGGGCCAGGCGTTTTGCCAGACACTCAGGGTGGCCAAATCCAAGTAATTCCATTTCCGCTCTAAGAGCCTACAGGCAAGGACAGTAAAGTAGCATGGGAACATCTATAGCACGAGATTACAAGAGTACAGAGACAAATGAATCACTGTAACCAAGTGAAAGTTCATATGGTTGGAAAAAGAAGCTGCCCATTATACTTTCCTTTGAGACATTAACCAGATGGATTAGATGATACAAATAAACACACACGGAGTACATTTGGAGCCATAAGTAGATTAACATGCAGTTACAGGAAAGCCAAAACATTCAGCTAGAAATCAATGTACATACTGTGATAAATGAACAGTTAGTTTTGAAAGCCAACCTGGGAATGCTCACCCTAGTGGTACAAAGGGAAGAACTATAAATATTGGTTCCAAACATATGGAGATTGTGGCACAGAATGGAATATGTGCTGTTGGTATTGGAATCAGAGAGAATAAACTTTTTTGATGGACAAATAATAGTTTGGAAAGAAGTAATCTGCTACAGCAGATCCCTGACCAGATTATATCAGATATGAAAAGCTTAAACAACGAATAAGCAAAACATGAAAATGAGTGAGTTTATGAGAAGGTGTCATGCTCTAGCCTCAGGAGCCTACCTGATATCATTGGCTCTCAAAATCATTATTGAGAACTATAGATTTACATTCTACTCGCTACAAATCAAATAAAGTAGTCCTAGAGCCATTTAGTTTCAGGGAGATGAAGAAAATGATGTACAAATTACATCAAATTCTTTGTTAGCTTAGTCTCCAATCAAGAGGGTTAGTGTGACTTTCAAAATGAGATATGAATAGCTTTTATCATTGAGCAGAGTGGTCCAGCCCCTGGCACTGCAGAGGGAGCACATGACTAAAGCAGAGTTATAGGTACCAGAAAGATGCTTTAGGGAAAATCATCAGAGGTATGTGTTTTGAAATAAATCAGTATTTCTTACAAATATACCAAATAATTGTTTTGACTTCAAGCCATAAAGAAAGGATGCATAAAGTAATAATAAATAAGTCGTTATATATTGATTAAAGATGCATTGAATCAAGGAAACAAAATGATTCATAAAATGATAATTATGCATATAGAGACAATCAAAAAGTTCAAAACTGTAGATAAATTGAAGGGTAATGACAAACGTTGATGAGTACATATTCAAATATTTTCAATATCAGTGAGTTATAGAAAGTTAATAACATCCAAGAAGGGTGACTAATGTTGGGAACATAACTAAGTACTCTCTCTATATAATCAGTATCATTATAGTAGGCAAAGAAAATGGATCATAAGTTAGTGAAGATAAAAAACCCTATTGTTGTTTTTTTAAGGTTAGCATATATTTTTTTAAAGATGATTTGCATAAGAAACAATTTTAATTCTCTAGACAATCAATATTACCCAAGAAAGAATAGAATGTGCAAATGGAGAGGGAAATTACTTCTAGTAATCAAAGCATTGAATATGGGTCTATTTTTCCCAGTCATGGTAGATCTAAAAGTCAGGTCAGTTTACTCATTATGCAAATTAAGCAGCTTGTAAATTCTTGGGGCTATTATTTTCCTCTAAAGTATCAGGGACCCACTAAAATAATGAGGAGTCATTTAAAGATAATACCAGGGAAGAAATCCAGAGAAATTGGATAGATACCTGGAGGCACTTTCTACTTACGGTGTTAGCTGATGCCATAAGAAACATATAGACTCTGAAAATGAAAGAAGCAAGTTTCAAAGTATTCCATTCCACGCGGCCACAGGGTGTGCGAAGGGGTCAAAGGGAAGAGGTTGCTGTGGAAAATCTTTATACTTCAAGAAACTAGCAAAATCATTCAAAGAGATTTAGTATACTAAGTTTTAGCACAAATCAATCTTCATAGAGGGAGACAGGATTGCCCTAGGCCTGAATACTTAACTAAATTTCAAGTAGAAATTCTGGCGCATTCTATAAAAACAACTGGAGTCATAAAAATATTTTCCATCATGAAGAAGATACAAGAAAAGCAAGACAAATTAAAATAGGTCACCAGTTGGGTGTGGTGCCTGCCCCTTGAGAGATTAGGCCTGAGGGCCAGGAGTTCAAAGTCACTTTTAGTTTAACAGAAAATTCTGCTACGTAAGATTCTCTGTCAAAATCCAAACCTCTTCCCCTATCAAAAGACTACAGAGCTTGAGATAATAGATTTTTCTATCAAATTTTAAAATGATGAACTCTATATTAATCGAGAGCATAGAAATAAAAGTTGTACATTCAGGGAAGAACTTGAACAGTCAACAAACAGAATGGAAATTTAATTTAAAAGTTTTTTTTGGAAGAGACAGAGGAAGAAAAAAATCAATAATTAATATGGGAAAAAGAACAAGACACTTCTTTAAATAATGTAATGATAAAAAAGAGTTACTCAAATGTGTAGGTAATGTAAAAATCCAGGGAAAGAGATAAAAGGAGCGAAAATATTTCAGAACGTCCCAACAAATGACTTTAAAAATATTTACACATATTGCAATAGTGTTTTTGATGACCAAAACTGAAGATCCACTTTATTTTTTAAAGAAGAACACAAATATATACTTTTAATAACAATTAAGCAGAAACTCAACTGTCAGTATAAACTGTGCAAACTAGACCTCAATGGTTGCTGTTGGAGGCTCCCCAGACTCCTGAAATCATCACACAGAAACTGTATTAATTAAATCACTGCTTGGCCTATTAGCTCTAGCTCCCTATTGGCTAACTCTTGCATCTAAATTTAACCCATTTTTTATTAATCTGTGTGTTGCCACGTGGCTGTGGCTTACCAGCAAGTTTCTGTCAGGTGCCTGTCTCTAGTGGGACTACATGGCTTCTTCTGACTCTGCCTTCTTTCTCAAAGTATTGA